AAAAAAAAAAAAAAAAAGAAGAGAAAGGTAACAAAGGAATAAATCATGGGAGCTGAGGTTGGAAATACAAGCAGAAACATTTAGCAGGGTGCACTGGGCCAGTTTAAGAAGTTTGATTTTTTTAATTTTGTTTTTGAGATGGAGTCTCAATGGTGCTTCTAACCTTTGTTGCCCATGCTGGAGTACAGTGGCGCCATCTTGGCTCACTGCAACCTCTGCCTCCCAGGTTCAAGCGATTCTCCTGCCTCAGCCTCTGGAGTGGCTGGGATTAGAGGCATGCACTACAACACCCCACTAATTTTTGTATTTTTAGTAGAGACGGGGTTTTGCCATGTTGGCCAGCGTAGTCTCAAATTCCTGGCCTCAAGTGATCTGCCAACTTCAGCCTCCCAAAGTGCTAGGATTATAGGCATGAGCCATTGCGCCTGGACAGAAGTCTGATTTTTTTTTTTGAGATGGATTCTTGTTCTGTCACTCATGCTGGAGTGCAGAGGCATGATCTCGGCTCACTGCGAAATCTGCCTCCCGGGTTCAAGCAATTCTCCTGTCTCAGCCTCCCTAATAGCTGGGACTACAGGTGCATGCCACCACACCGGCTAATTTTTGTATTTTAAGTAGAGATGTAGTTTCACCATATTGGTCAGGCTGGTTTCAAACTCCTGACCTCAGGAGATCCACCCACCTCGACCTTCCAAAGTGCTGGAATTTCAGGCATGAGCCACTGCACCCGGCTCAGGAATCTGATTTTTATCCCAACACCAACAGGGAGGCACAAAAGGATTTTAAACTAGGAAATGCCATGATTGGCTGTATTCTGGGTACAGAGCAAGACAGATGCAGGGAAGCCAGATTGGAGTCTTTCCTTCAAGGTCCGTTTGAAAAACTGAAACCTCTCTACAGCCTTCTGTGGACCCCGCCTCGGAACAGATCACATTTCATCACCATCACCTGCTTAGTCTGTAGTCCCCAGTACACAGAGACTATTACAATTCTGCCTCCAGCAGCCACACAGCAGCTGACCCCATCCGGCCAATGTTAGTGGTTGAACAAAAGGTTGGTTGAACAAAACAGCCAAGAAACAGCGAAGCCAGTTTAATCCAAATCTAATTTCCTAAAAATCTTAAAAATTAGTGAGAGCTTGGGGAAGACACAGAGGCTGCCAGATGGTGCCTTACTCTTTCTGGTAAATGGATTTTAATAAAATCAACATCTGCTCTGTGATAATTATTGTCCCCCTATCTTTCCTCTGAAGACCTTCTCAGACAGTTTGAGTCTAATTATCAGAAACTGCAGACAGTTTCATCTCTACCCTTTTTTGTTGATGATCAAATATGTTAGCAAACTACTCATAAATGAAACAAAAGCTCATGCTTTTCTGTGTTTGGATCCTTCCTTACAGACCATGATGCTTTCCTGGGCTTGTCTCCAGGTTCCAAGATTGGCAGCTGCTTCATGGTGTCCTATGCATAAGAAAGAAAGGTACTTTTTAGACATTTATGGTTATCTTCTTCCTAAAACACAGGACAAATCAGTTCAACCTCCTCTTTAAAACCTTTCCTATTGAATGTACTAATTCCTAGGGCCTGATTAATTTAAATAAGCACCACCAACCTTTCATTTTTATTTATTATGTATGTAGGTATTTATTTGAGTCGGAGTTTCACTTGAGTTGGAGTTTCACTCTTGTTGCCCAGGCTGGAGTATAATAGGACAATCTCAGCTCACTGCAATCTCCACCTCCCAGGTTCAAGCGATTCTCCTGCCTCAGCCTCCTGAGTAGCTGGGATTACAGGCACATACCATCACGCTCAGCTGATTTTTGTGATTTTAGTAGAGATGGGGTTTCACCATGTTGGCCAGGATGGTCTCAATCTCTTGACTTCATGATCTGCCTGCCTGGGCCTCTCAAAGTGCTGGGATTACAGGCATAAGCCACTGCACCCAGCCTTATTTTTTGTATTTTTAGTAGGGATGGGGTTTCGCCATGTTAGTAAGGCTAGTCGTCTCAAACTCCTGACCTCAGGTGATCTGCCTACCTTAGCCTCCCAAAGTGCTGGGATTACAGGCATGAGCCACTGCGCCCAGCTTTATTTTTTATTTTATTTTTTCTGAGACGAAGTCTCACTCTGTTGCCTAGGCTGGAGTGCAGTAGTATGATCTCGGCTCACTGTAGCCTCTGCCTCCTGGGTTCAAGCAATTCTCCTGCCTCAGCCTCCTAAAGTGCTAGGATTACAGGTGGGAGCCACCAGTCCCAGCCTATTTATTTATTTTTAATTAAAAATAGAAATGGGGCCAGGAACAGTGGCTCACACCTGCAATCCCAACAATTTGGGAGGCTGATGCGGGTGGATCACCTGAGGTCAGGAGTTTGAGACAAGCCTGACCAACATGGTGAAACCCCATCTCTACTAAAAATACAAAAATTAGCCCACCGTGGTGCTGTGCACCTGTAATTCTCAGGAGCCTAAGGCAGGAGAATCGCTTGAACCGGGAGGCAGAGAATGCAGTGAACTGAGATCTTGTCACCAAACTCCAGCCTGAGCAACAGAGCAAGACTCGTCTAAAAAAAACAAAAAAGTCCAGGCACAGTAGCTCACACCTGTAATCCCAGAACTTTGGGAGGCCAAGGTGGGTGGATCACCTGAGATCAGCAGTTTGAGACCAGCCTGGCCAACATGGCGAAACCCCATCCCTACTAAAAGTACCACAATTAGCTGGGTGTGGTGGCATATGCCTGTAATCCCAGCTACTTGGGAGGCTGAGGCAGAATTGCTTGAACCCGGGAGAGAGAAGTTGCAGTGAGCCGTGATTATGCCACTGCACTCCAGCCTGGGCGACAGAGCAAGACTGTGTCTCAAAAAAATACAATAAAATAAATAATAAAGAGACAGAAATACTGAACTCTAGGATAAATCTGGGCCTCAGCATAGCATAGAAAGTAAAGCCTTCTGGTGTCAGCCTTTTTTTCTGGGAACTCACCTCCACAATCTCTTGCATTGTTGGGCTTTTTGCTGTTCGTGTAATATGTCAGGCCTTTTCATAGTCTTGCAGTCTGTGCTGCTTCCCCTATCTGGAGTGTCGCTTCCCTTCTGGGAAATTTGCAAACTCCTAGTCAACCTTGAAAGCCCAGTTCAAAAGTCCCTTTCTTAGTCAAACCTTAACTGATTTGTCACTTTTCTCTTCCACCCTCTTCCAAGTTACTTCCTTCTCCCACCCACTGGGCTCTGAAGGTATTAAGCCACCACCACTGCAGGAATCACTTGGAATGCGTTTATCTATTTACTGCCCCTAGACTACATTCTAGACTAAATTCCAGTAGACTAAGTTCCTAGGGAGCTGGGCCTGTCAGATTCATTCTGAGAACCTACCAATGGACCTGGCATAGAGTAGAAGTCGGGGAGTGAAGAGTGAATGAAGAAAGAAAATAGATCGAGAGATGAATGGATAAATCCCGCCTGCGGCCTAGGCCACTGACCGCTGTCCCCAAAGTCCAGAGGTAAGTGAGGTTGGCTTCATGTGGGCGGGACCTCCCGCAGCCGCAGCCGCTGCCGCTACCCGCCCCCCAATCTCATCCCCACGTGGCAGTTCTAGGGTATAGGAGACGGGGTCGGGAGAGAACAGGCTGGTTTCTTTCGGTCAAAGTGGATGGGACGGAGCTAGAGAAGGCCCTTCCTAATTCTTTCCACCCGGCTTGGGCCTACTCCCCTATAGGATTCGGACCCCCTGCCCGAGATTGTGATAGACCCTGGATCCGGGGACCCCCGACCCCCACGTGCCAGCCCCGGACCGCATTACCTGCGGCGACTTAGGCCAGTTGCGAGCCGTGACTCCGCCCCGGAGGGGCGGGGCTTAGGTCCGGGTTCCCTACTCCCAGGACCCGGAAGAGCGTGCGGGCCAACCGCTCCCTCCTCCCTGCTACGCCCCGGTGCCCGGTGCTGCCTTCCTGGGCTGGCGGTGGAGGACCACCCCCCCCACACACACAAGACCCGGAGTGTCCGCCAGGCTGTGCATTTCTCGGGAATCACGCGGGCTGGGCCTTCCCTGTATCCCTCCCTCCCCGACGGGATAAATAAGCCGGGGCTGCTTGGAAACGACTTGTGCAATGCCTGGTTCGGGCGT